GTGATGGGAGTGTAGAGCAGCTCGGCCATGACGGGCCGTAGGGGTAGGTAACGACGTGCAGGCGTGTTGACAAACGTGTTGTATTCATCGGGGGCGTGGTTGAGCTCGTCATTCCATCACGGCATCAATTCACGCATAACGCTTAAACACCCAAAACGAATCTCCATGGATGTCCACCAATCTACCAAACCCCCAAGGAAAACATAAAGAAACTTCTTGTTCCTCCGTAGTTCGTCACTGCAAATCCCGCATATGTATACGCAACATACCACCCCCATGCTATGCTACGAGTATATCGAATAGTACACTCCTAACGAACACCTCTTTGACAGCTGATAGTATTTTCCTGCTCGGCACTATTCTATATATTGTTAGCCCTTCAATGTATTTTCAACTCCTTCCAGCCAATGGCGAGGTGTATGTAACCAAATCTGCCCATCCATACCGACTACAATAAGCCTTGTCATCAATGTTGCAACATTCCTCCGCGTCGCCCGCCGGACACTGAAGGTCGTCCTGGCGCTGGCCCTCAGGAGAGATTTCTGGGACAACGTTCTGTCCCAGGCCGTTATGTCCAACTACGAGTCGTACCGCAGTACTATGTCCGCTGAAGTACCGCGCGGGGACGCGCAGAGACGATGGAAAGCATCGCTCCAGGCATCGGACGTGGTCATGCAGTGGGATCCGGACCACATGCCATTCACAGGACATAAGACGAATCACAGGTAGTAGTCCGCGACTCTGCCTGCAAGTCAGTGCTGTGTGTTCAGTTATTACGTGCGTTCATGAACAGCAGTGAGGCTGAAACTTCAGCAAGTACAAACTCAGGTTTCACCAAAGCTTGTGCGCCCTCCCAATGATGATAGTGCATTTCAGTAGTTCAGAATAGTGCACAATAGACTAGCCCAGCTCCAAAGACAACAAGAGAATGAGCTTTCCAAAAACTTACGGCAGACTACACGCATAATTTCGGGTCGAGGCTCATTTTTTTCTTGTGTAGCATCGAGCGCAGGTTGTTATCTGCTGGTAGAGTTTAGTCTAAGTAGGATCCGCCGCTCAGCTGTTTTTCTTCACCTATTTTCTTTTGCATACAGTAGTTTGTCGCGAAAATGGTACCGTAGACCTACCTTTACCATTCATATCGGAGTAGTAATTGCGGGCCCATTGCGTATCATGAAGAAATTCAAGGACAGCGTGCTGGTAGAGACGCAGGCACTCAATGGAACTTTTCTGCAGGCCGCTCCACAAAATATGTATGTCAAAGATGACGGCGGACGAAGCGTATTCGTTCCCGTCGCCGTCACATCCCCGCCTAGACGCTGAGCTCGTGCCATCTCATAACTTGCTGTATTGTGTGAACCGTGCGTGTTGTCACCAAGAAGACCAACATGAGTCCCCGCCGAATCATCACACCCTAAAATCGACGTCACAACCGGATGCGTTCGCCCTCTTTATGTTTGTCCTCAGAGCTATTCAGCTGGGCCTGCGGGGTGACGCGCTGGCCGCGTTCCGTGGGCCGGCGTTCGGGGAGACGGGCATCCAAGACGTGAGCGCCTTCGCCAAGGCAACGGAGGAAATACACCGCCCGCGCGCTGCCGACGGGGGAGGGGGGGGAGGTCATCCTGCCGCCCCCGCGGCCACGTTACCCCCTGCTCTGCTGCTGCCCATCGAAGAGACGTATCCTGTGATGGACGCCTCGGTGGCGCAGCGGCTGGGAATCGATTAGCAGGCCCGGACAGGTTTCGTGACGGGTGGCGATGTGTGGATTATGACCTGATGCGCCCACCTGCAAGTCTCCACGACGAGAAACTCTTCGTGGGTGTCGTAGCCTTATCGCTACATGGTTTCTTCCCCGCGGACCTTGCCAAGTTTGGTTGAATGCTGGTGAAGGACGACAAATTACTGTAGCGCCGCCGATTCCTTTAGTTGCAAGGCCCTGGTAAATCGTTGTGGGTTAGTTTTGCTTTGAAGGAGGTCCCAGGTTGTTGAAGTATGTATTGCATCCTTGAGCCCTTCCCACCAGGGTGGGCATGTCGGAGCTAAAGATTCCTCTTTGTAAGCTATTGTCAGTCGATATAATTGACAGAGGAAATTATGTACGAAGCTCGATATCCCGAAAGGGTTCTCAGTACATTATCCCCAATGGTGGGCCTTTGGGAACACGAGATGCGAACTGTGCCCAAGGACTCTTACTTCGGTGTCGTCCACTTGGACAACGTGTTCGCGTTGCGAAGCACCGAGCGTGGTTAACTCCTTTAGAGGGGGCATTCCATCTGACATGCGGTGAGACGCCTCACTCCCATTTCAGGCGCAGACATCAAAGACGTCCTGCGAGCAACTTGAGTAGCACATGCCAAAACAGTTTCACCAGCTTGATTACAAGGTGGTCCGTTTTCTTGGGCAAAGTAGCCTACTCCTTTTTGGCTTCCTCGAGCAACGCTGGCTGCGACACAACAATCCTCGTGTCTAATAGTTTCAGGAGCTGGAATTGGTCAACGATAACGACTGTCAGCCTCAACTTCTACCCCTCTACTCGTACTCCCTTGTGCCCAGGGTTCGCATAACCAAACGCCGTTTTCTCCCATGCCACCGATACATTCCGCAGAAAGCAGCAAGGCCCTGTCGAGGGTAGACGAGTGAGACCGAATGCATATGCGCTGCATAGTTTCGCCCAAGCGCTTGTTATCGACATAATGTCCACAACTTGGTGAAGGTGGGAAAAAAACCCGGTCTTAGGGGTAAGGGCAACACAAAACACCAAGCCACCAGCTCGCCGAAGCAACAACGCGCACCCGAAACACCATTGAAGACGAGACAATGTAACGAAGACCACGGGAAACCACGACAACAGCCACCGTCAAGAACAGGCGGCAGAACACGCAGAAAGCAGCAAACACAGCAGCGACGCAACGCGTCTAAACGAGGCGCTGGTGTAGGAGCGACCAGAGCATCCGCCTGCGCATCTGCGAGATGTCCGCCTGTCGGAAGTCGAAGGGAAGGTCGTCGCTCAGGTAGGAGGCGAACGACACCGCGAACGCTCCGCAGTCGCTGCCGTTCTCCTGCAGAACCAACACACACACGAGCAAACCGACACCATTTTGGATACGAAGGTAAAGAAACACGTCCTACACTGCACGTTGGCGATAGTAGTAGTAGTGCTGGCCGAGAACGCCCTGTGCTGCATTCTTGCAAACGACAATATCCGGACCCACAAAAAGTGGCGTTGTCAATTGTAATCAACGACGACGGCAACAACAACAACAACAACAACCTTCACCTGCTGGGGGGTCGAGGCCACCTTGGTCCCCACGGTTGTCCAGTCGTCGGGCTCGAACGTAGCGTTGTCTCCGTTCTTGTCCTCGTCCTCGTCCTCCAGCCACAGCAGCAGATCTTCCCGCACGGACTTGCCCCCTCCGCCCATGCTGTCGTAGTAGTGGATGCGCTAGAAAAGCGGCCCACAAAAAACGATGCAACAAGCTCTGCTGTAACCGGGTGACACCGGGTGACACCCGCCAACGAATCTCATTTGCACCCTACTGCTGTACGACTATTTCCCTCGGCTAGAGGGTATCGACCGCTTCGCCCCGAGGCGTCAAGGCTTGAACGCGAAGTTTGTCGCATTCATGCCCCCTGCTGATCCCCACGGTCCATCTTGCCTACTTCTTTGTTTTGTGTGTAGCATAACGGTTCGGCTAGCGCGAACGACGAAGGAAGCATCGAAGAAAAAAAAAAGGGTCCACTTTCACACAAACCTTTTGCTGCACGAATATGACCGCCATGCACCAGTGGGCATTCGACACGTTCACCGGTACAAAAATCTTGTCCATCTCGAACACCTTGACTCTGGGAAGCGGCCGGACCGATCGCGGGGTTGGGGGGGGGTCTGTGGTCGAAAAACAAATAGTTCTTTCGACGCAAGTCTGGGGGTGAGCGAGAAAAAATTGCCAACAAATACCCGTACCTTGTCACACGTCAACTTTCGTTTTAGAAGTCATTCTATTTCTTATCCCATATAGTCTGGATGTATCAGCCGGGGTAACTGAGGACTGAGCATCTGGTAGAATACAAGATTATTTCCCCAGAACTCACCAGAGAGCGGAGGCAAATGCGATTGTACACACGCAGCTCACGGGAGGAAGGAGGTCGGCGCAAGAACAGCTGGATGTGATCGCGTCACAACAACTCCGGGCACGTGTGCACGAAGACGAGAGCCTGAACCACACTCGCGACAATCGCCGCCGACGCCATGGCTTCTCCGTAGATGGGCAAAAAAAACACGTCATCACCAAACAAACTTGGCACACACTTGTGACCCATGGATGCATGGACCCGGCGTGGGCCGCCAAGACTCGAACTCACCTTCTTGTCCATCTCTTCACGCCATTGTAGTTGTACTTGCAGTCCATGCCCCTGAGCTTAGTCAGGAAGAAGGAAGTGAAGAAGTGTGATTGCCGTCTAGAGGGGTTCGCCTTGCACAGCTGGGTCGGAGTTGCGCGCGGACGCCGGGGGGTGGGGGAGGTGTACTCATAGTCGTCCNTGTTCGGCATCTTGTGCTTATTTCCTTGCGTACGGATGACAGCTGCGTACGGCTTTATTTACTTTCTGGTGCTTTCACTTCCTGAGACAGTTGTAAGCACTGTGTAACTGCCTCGAGGGTGCTTGACCACACAACATGGTGCGATCATCCCCCTTGCGCCGAGTGAGGCTCGACCCCGCACAACATGATCTAGTCGACCACCATTATGGTAACCGCAAAAAAAAAAGAGGTAAAAAAAAAACGGTAACCTGGTTGCCGAGTTCACGAAGTGAATTGGCTTGTTTTACAACGTNCGGGGGGGGGGGCTATTGAAAAGAACCTACTGTTGTGTGGAATACTCAAATCTAAGTAGCTTTATTGAATGGGACCTAGTGCGGTACAGAAAATCTACCATATATGCTCCACTGCTGAGTAGGATGTAGTGTGGACATACTAGGTTACCCTCAGGTAGGTTTAATGCATAGGATGCGACACTAAAGCCTGTAGCAAGATGTTGGACCTATGAACCCCCGTATTTGGTAATGTACGGGTTTAAAATACATACAACAATAGAGCGTTGTTATGTTTATATAAGGGCTTCAGAATGCGACACGAAAACCTGTACAACCAAGTATGTACTACTTGAAGCACTATAGACTAGACAATTCACCCGTGCAACCTGCTGATCCTGGGCGTCAATCTTGCTCCGGGGGGATCGCGGTGCGCCATGGTTTCCACTGCGAGGGCCCCTTGGTAGACTAATGAAGCATATACACACAGCACCCACTGACTACAAGAACGAGGCAGTGTTGATCCTTGATCTTTGATCGTTTGCGCCGCCCCTCTCGCCAACCGTGGGACGTGGGAACCGGGCTCAGGAAACGTAGAAATACAAGTTGATCACGATACAACCCAAAAACGAAGTAATTGCTGATCTATCTCGGATTATCATCTGTGAAAGAAGTAAATTTGTTGACGCGGACAGCGGAGGAGCAACGACCGCGAAAAAGAACAGAACAGATTCAATCTGCCGCCTCTCACCAACCATGAGATATCGGAACCGGATCCGGGGATATCATGCTTGACCCGCATGGCGGAGGAAGAAAGAATGCGATAAGAAAGAAAGCAAAACCTACCGCCTCTCTCGCCCACCACCGCACACACGAGAGAAGAGCCGCCCTCGGCAAAATGATGGTTGACGCCTCCAACGGTAGCAAATCCCCAGGAATTATGTAGCATGTTTTTTCACTGCCTGTCTCTGTCTGTCTCTGTCTGTCTCTGTCTCTGTCTCTGTCTGTCTGTCTGTCGTTTTCTGTCTGTCTGGCTGCCTGTCTGGCTGCCTGTCTGGCTGCCTGTCTGGCTGTCCGTCCGTATGCATATCTCTAATTTTCTTTGCCTCTGTCTCTCTCTCCCGCTTTTCTATTCCGATACAGTGGGGGCTACGGTTTAAGAGCGCTCAGTTTAAGAGAATTGCCGATTTAAGAGAGGTCAAAATTGCTAGACACACCCCTCTCTTAAACCGAACCCCGAATCTCTTAAACCTCTCCTAAACCTCTCTTAAACCGAACCTGCCCCCCCAGCCCCCACCCCCTATAGCCTACCAGCTGCCCCCCACAGCAGCAGCTCAAGCAGCTGTACAGCAGTAGGCCATCATAGCTAGCGAGGCACACAGCTCCCACGGATGCCTTGCGCCGCGGGTTCCCGCTGCCTGGCAACGCCGGACCTCAGACCCGTCNGAATCTCTTAAACCTCTCCTAAACCTCTCTTAAACCGAACCTGCCCCCCCAGCCCCCACCCCCTATAGCCTACCAGCTGCCCCCCACAGCAGCAGCTCAAGCAGCTGTACAGCAGTAGGCCATCATAGCTAGCGAGGCACACAGCTCCCACGGATGCCTTGCGCCGCGGGTTCCCGCTGCCTGGCAACGCCGGACCTCAGACCCGTCCCCCCACTGTNCTGCCCGGACGGGCGGGCAACGGGGAAGGAGAAGCAAGCGGGTGCACTGGGCAGCTTGAAACCCGTTGGCAACACCGCACGCAGGAAAGTTCGTGGCGCCAAAAACCGCAAACGACCGACGCTCGAAGACAAGGTTCGGGCGCTCGACCGGCGTAGCAATCGCGAAGGATATGGGGACCGGGATGAGCACCTTGTACGGGTGGAGAGCCAAGGAAGCAGACATCAGACAACAGGCAGCAGTCTCCATGCCCGGCGCCAAGTCTACGAAGGGGGCTGAGTTTGCGAAGGTGGGTGCTCAGCTTGGTTTGCTGTACAGCAGTACACAGCAGAGTACAGCAGTAATTCCGAGTGTATTTTGATTTTCTTTTCGTATTATTATCACACAACAAATCCATCTCTATAGAAATAAGTCTAAGATAGATTAGCAATGAATCCATAGCGTGAGCGAAAGGCAACCTGTATGTCTACGGTTTCCCAGACAGCATCGTTTTTGAATTTTGAATTTTTCTTGTACAAGCAGGGGTCGTGTACAGCAGCTTATTAACAGTTCTTATGTACATTTACAGCAGCAGCAGCAGCAGCAGTTTAATTCCGAGTATGTTTGTGGCCGCTTTTGTTCAGCAACCGGCTAGTGTGGCGTAGGTACGCTGCATCATGCCGTGCAGTATTTGCTGTAGGATGAAATGATATACAGCAGAGCAGTAACAGCAGTGCACACACTACAGCTGCTAAATCCGTGAATAATATATGTCCTGTTTTTTTCTCCAGGTGGAGCAAGCAGTCATGGAAATGTTGGTGCAGGCGAGGGCACTGAGAATGCCTGTCAACCGGGACGCGATCCAGGCATTCGGGCGCAAAGCTCGTCGTGCCCTCGAGAACGCAGCATCTACGGACGCCGAGCGTGTGCAGTACGGCGGCTTCAACGCGTCCGAGGGGTGGATAAAGAAGTTCGTCAAGCACAACAACCTGCACTCCCGTACACTTCACGGCGAAGCAGGCAGCGTCGACGACGAAGGCATCGCCGATCGCCTCAGAGTAATCCGCGAGACGTGCGCTCAGTATGCCCCAGAATGCGTCTACAACGCCGACGAAACCGGGCTGTGCTACAGGATCATGCACAAGGCTACATACCTCGCACCATCAGAGCTCAAGACGACCGTGCGAGGCGTGAAAGGTATGAGAGCGAAGGATCGAGCCACCGCCTACATGGCTACGAGCGCCAGCGGGCGTAAGGTGCCGCTGTCCTTTATCGGCACAGTCAAGGAGCCCCGGTGCTTCAAGATCCGGGGCTCATCCATCAAGAACTTCAGCCAGAAGAACGCGTGGTCGGACGCGCGAGTGTTCAAGCTGTGGTGGTCGCAAGTGTTCCTGCCACACGTGCGCTCCGTCACCAGCGAGAAGGTTCTTCTCATCATGGACAACCACAGCAGCCACCCCGACCTCGTACACCCCAGGAAGCAGGTGAAGATTCTTGAGCTGCCACCCAGCTGCACGAGCAAGCACTAGCCCATGGATGCCGGGATCATCGCAGCCTGGAAGTGCGGTACAGGACGAAGCTGCTGGGGATTCGCGTCGACACGATGACGTCGGCGGCGCAGCTACGGGAGCAGGCGAAGGAACGCAAGGTGATTCGGGGCTGCATGGGGCTCGCGGAAGGAGCGCAGCCTCACATCCTGGACGCAGCTGAGCTAGGCCTCGAGGCGTGGAAGGAAGTTTTGCCGGAGACAATCAAGAGGTGTGTCCGTGTGGTGGTGTTCACAACAGTATTCAATAACTGCTGTATAATGTCCCCCCTCTAGACGCATACCGTTACCACGTATTTTGCACGTTGACGAAATTGTTAACTGACGCCATCATCTTGCAAGTTTTGTTTGAATTGAAAAAATAATAAAATGTTTTTGTTCGTTCGGCTCGTTCTGTTTTTTTCTCTTCTTGCCGTGCACGTTTCTCTCTCCTTCCCGCGTACTTTGACTATTCATCGTTTCCAAGGTGCTGGAGGAAATGTGACATCCTTCCTCCTGCGGTGCACGCGGACCTCGACTAGGACGTGGGAAAGAATATCCGCAACAAGAAGGAGAGTCTCGAAGAGTTGACGGACTTGGTGCAGCGTCATTCTCTTGAGGCGAAGAAGACAACTGTCGATGAAGACCTTGGCGAATCGCTTAAGGGTCTGGGGTTGGTACCTGGCGCAACGTCAACCCGGGATTCCATGGAAGCCGTGCATGGTTGCGTGAAGAGGAAAAAAAAGGGTGTAGCGGAGGCGATTATTGCAGATCTGAAGGACGATCTTTGCGAGGAGTTGCTTGCCCACCTGAACATGGACCAATTGAACAGAGACTCGGACGACGACGAGGCCGACTCTTCGGCGGGAGACGAGGGACAGTGTACGCAGCCCCCGGTCTCTCCTCGTCCGCCACCGTAAGCTGACGTATCTAGGCAGTTCGGAGACCTCGAAGATAAAGCAGAGAGGTGCAGCATGGCCGGGGTAGCTTACCATCTTCGCAAGGCGAAGTTAGCCTGGATGAGCGAGGCTGGGTCAAAGAAAACGAAGCAAACATGCATGGCAGGCTCCATGGACGTCTTTTTTTTTTTTTTAGGGTAGGGTGTACTACTTGTACTGCTGTAGGTGCTTGAGTCACTGGTCTTGAGTGTTTTGTGTGTGTGATGCTCACGTCTCTATGTTCTGTTGGCAACTATCCTATGATATGCACTGCTGTTTGTCGAGATGAGGTCGGAGTATACCTTGGAGACCACGCAATAGTTACATCGGTTGTGCTTCGTACACAACAAGAAGGAGGGATCACGCTCGGTGAGGGCCCTATAACGCACGAAAATATTGTGGAAAACAAAAACAAAATACTTCCATCACTTCCATCATGTTAGACCCTGTTCAAAGACATAATCGGTTCAAGAGAGGTTTTCTCTTAAACCGAACGTACGGTTTAAGAGAAAACCTCTCTTAAACCGTACTAAGAGAAGGTCGTGTTAAAGAGAGGTCTTCTGGGTGATGCACACTCCTTTCTTAAACCGTAGCCCCCACTGTATTCCGATCACGATCCCAATTTTCATCGTTGTCCTCAATTCCTTCGAAAAAGCGTGACTGGCGTCAAAAATTGTAGATCCATCGCGCACGGACGGCTCGTACGTGTCTCCATGTGTGCGAGTGCGTGTCTTCGAAAACTGCATCGGCAACGCTAGCCGGTTCACCAATGAAAAGACAAGGCGTCCGTCTTATGGCGGCTAAAACTTGTGAGTGTGCTTGGTGATTAGGGCGGAAGGACTCTGGTGAGGAATCATAAGTGTTCTATGTGGTGTAACATTCCCCGAGAAATCCAACAACTGTGGCACTACCAACGCCAACAGCGACACAGCGGCAGCAACAGCAACAGTGGAATACCAACACCAATAACAACAACAAACAACAACGCCGACAACAACAACAACAACAACACCGACAGCGACAACAACTACAACAACAACGTCAGCATTAAACAACAACAACAACAACAACAACAACAACAACAACAACAACAACGCCGACAGCGACAACAACGAGAGCGTCAACACGGCTTCTCCGACTCACCTCCTTGTCCCTGCACGACAGCAGCTGCATGTACATGTTCACCACCTCGTCGTTCAGCCACGTGTACGGTCGCAAACACTGCCAAACAATTGATCACAACGGCAAAAAAACGGATTCCGGCAATTTCCGACATCAAGACAGGAGCAGCGAACAACAAGCAACGAGGATGGATGCACACAAGCGTTGGACTCAAGCACAGGTACGACGAGTTTCTCTTTGAAAAAAAAGGAATCTACGGGGGTACGAGCACGCGGGACACACGCGAGGCCCGTCGGAGATACGGTAGGTGACACAAGATATCACACCCACTGGGCCGATCATCACAGAGCTCGGTTACTTCACATCAGAACGAAGGGCGGCGCTGGAAAGGCCCGCGTTGAACACGTCTCGTTTAGCGCTCTCCGAATATGCAACGTTTCATCCATGCACCCTCTTCGTCGTGGAGTAATCGAGTTGAAAAAATGAAAAAATCGATCCAGGGGGTGTGATATCTTCAGTCATCTACGGTACTGAGATGACCTCGTCGTCCCCACCGGGGTGTACACCCGCACCACCACCTTCGATCCGGTGTACCTTATCTTGTCCAAGGGGACGTTCATGAGCTGGCAGAAGGTAGAGGCTCGCGTGTACTTCAATCTCTCTGCTCATAATATCTCTGCATGCACGTGCATTCTTTGGGCAAGGGCCTATCGGTTTCGAGACCGCATGTGCGTTTCGGTTTCAGCGACGGGCGAACGCGAAGACACAGTAGTGACATCACCACCATAGACGTACGAAAACATTACCACTGGAGCAAAAAAGAAAAAAAAACAAGAGCCACACCGAAAAAAAAAAAAAAGACACAAGCCAGGGGTGGGTTGTTCGCGAGGGGGAGGGTACCTCTCCTCGGGGTTATAGGGTGGTCTCTCATTTGGTTCACCAGATGAATCAATCACCTTGAGGTCCCTCCTGGTGAGGGAGGCGTTGAAGGCGTTCACCAACACCTCGTGGTCCGGCCCACCATTGAACGCCCTGTCCACCTGTATTTGATACAAGCACAACGGGCACATCGCAGTGACGCCGAAGCATGCAAGTCGAGACTGATTGCTGAATACCACATGTTTGTAATACGTTCCTTTCGGATCTTTGAGAGTCGATGGCTACCACTGCTCAAGTGTGAGAGTACATGATCCGTTGGTCAAACGTGTTGGCGGTCGGGGGCAGCCCTAGGCTGTCGTATCCAGTCTCACACAACGGTGTGCGTTGGCGAAAAAAAGAAAAGAGAAACGAAAAAAAAAAAATCTCCACCTGCTCTATTTTCAAGTAGTGCCACGGAAATGAATCCTTGGAGTATATAACTTGGGGTGATTGTCCTTTTGGTTCGTTGGGGTTCGATGGTAGCTGCCAGCCATGGGCTGGGTCTGCCGCCTACTCCTCCATCTTGCATCATCACCCCTTCATGGCACTGCTGTGTTGTCATGAGCCCTCTCCGGAGGAATCACTCATAGAAGGGGTATGGTTCCTGCGAGGTTTCAACGCGGACAGATCCAGAAGCTGGGAAGGGCGTTTTGGGCAATTCGGAAGAGACCGTCGCCTGAGAGCAAACTCAAAAGTGCCATTAAGGAGTGTTTGGCGGTGCTGATCGTGACCGAACTTCAAGCCTACGTTTTACCTCCGGAGAAATAGTTGGAATACATCGGTAAAAGGGTATGAAGAATACATCGGTTTTCGCGCCTAGGTTAACAATTTTCAGCTCCTGATAACTGAAACGGCACCTGTTATGGTATTTGAAGGTAGACATGTGATCGTGGTTGACAATGGTTATTTGGCGCCGTCGGATGCTAAGACGTGACGTCATGCTAGATCAGGGCTTAATGCCGAGGCATATGCCCGTCTGTTCAGTATGCGTGCGGCGATCCGTGATCGTGTGTGCGTGGGATATTATCCGTTGGCTTGGAAAGCGTTAATCAAGAGAAAAAGGACAACGGAAAGCAACAACAACCTGCTACTGTGTTCGGACAAGAGAGTTCCACGCAGCACAAAGGTGATTGATTCTGAAGGAAGGGGTCAAATACCATTACGCATCCCCTTACGGAGTCAGCGTCTGTGAATTGGGACCTCCATTCACGTGAACAAGAAGAGCCGCGCTTCTTACAGGGGGATCGACAACGCTACGCGGTTCAATGGAAACAGTTTCGACGTCTTGGTGCGTGTTCGTCTCTCGTTGTCCCCCCTACTATTTTCGCTTCCAACGGGACGCAAGAAAGCGACTCCTTCCCCCGGAAACGAAAACGACAACGACAATCCGGTTTCAATCAAAACGCACGTGGGCTCCTAACTGACAACAAGATGAAAACTCCCCCTCGTCCCAAAAGTAAAGCCCTTCGAAAGCGTTGCTCAGAGCGATTTGAAGACGGTCGAAATTGAACCACCTTCGCAGAAACGCCACAAATTCAGGGAAGAAATCCAGCAGTATGCACACCACACCCCCCATCGAAACACACGGCGCCAATATATCACCTTCGTTGTCTAAACACAAAAGCACAGCAACTATTCAGGCAAAGCCCGAACGCAGCAGCTATTGAAATCACGTTGCTCTCTCTCACCTCTCTCTCTTGCTCCTGCGACAGCGGACCTTTTCGAAGGAAAGATTTCATGGCCTTGGCCTGCTGGTCCTGCTGCTGCCGGCTTTCCTTGGCTGCCATTCGCCTCTCCAACTCTTCGGACGCCTGTTCACGGACACATCGGCCAAAAATCATCCCAGAGCACGAAAACAAATGTGTGCGTGTGTGCCAGAGAGAGAGGGAGAGAGAGAGAGAGGGGGAGAGAGAGAGAGGGAGAGAGAGAGAGAGAGAGAGAGAGAGAGAGGGAGAGAGAGAGAGAGAGNGAGAGAGAGAGAGAGAGAGAGAGAGAGAGAGAGAGAGAGAGAGAGGGAAGGCGAGAGAGTTCAAGAAGAAGCGGATCGGCAAGCGAGCGCAAAGCCCGGGCCGAAAAAGACAAAACAAGGGACGACACGCATCGCAACATTACCAGTCGACTGCGTTTGGTTTTCGCCGGAAAAAAGCACAGACAAGACAAAACACACATTGTAGAGGACTTGCACACAGACGACGGGTGATTGCTGGACACTTTCTTGCGGAACAGACAACAAGTGCTTTCGGAACGTCCTCGACGAGAAGGTCCTCGCGCCGCTAGTTTTTGGCACTGCCTTGGCTCTTGCTGCAGCGTGGACCTTTGAAAATCGCTCCTGGGGTTGTGGAACTTCACGCAACCTTCGATACATGTACCGCTCTCTTCACCTGCATTTCGGAGAGTGCCCTCAAGCTCTTCTGCTGAAGATGCTCCGCGGAAGCACCCGAAGGCGCACCTACCGCCACCCTCGCACTCCCGAACGCCCTCTGATGCTGCTGCTGCTGCTGCTGCTGCTGCTGCTGCCGCCGTGTGTGCGCCAGCACCCACAATCGAGCCAGGGACAACGATACAAAATAGAGGACGCACGCAAAACGGCGAGCACAAGACGTTCGATTTCTATGTAGTAGTTGAGCGATAAATCGCGACTGGCGGCCAAGCAGCGGTCAGGGTTTCAACCCGAACAAAAAAGAAATCAGCCCCGATGTTCCAACAAAAAAAATGAAGCACGTCCGACAAGCAAAACGACGAACGAGCGCGATGACCAAACGTGTTCACCTCGAACACAAGCCGCTCGAACCGGCCGTCGCTCTCAACCTCAACACGGTCTCTCTTCCCTCAGCTGTCCGCGTCATAACGTACATTTTACCTCTGTTTTCTTCGCAAGAAAGTCACTATTCTCGGTCCGCAGCAAAAGCTTACCATCTTCAGAACGCCAATTCACACGCAAATACACACCAGCCAACAAAACAAACACGGCTTCAAGAGACGGACACACGCCCTCGCTCACTCGCCGACAATTCGCCACGACCCACTCGTAAAACGCTCCTTTTTCGTCCACACTCACCCCATGGGACGAATGATGCGCGAGGCCGCTGCTGATGCCGCTGCCGCCGGTGGAGGCGCCGCTCTTGGCCATCTTCAAGGCCGCCAACTGTTGCTCGATGGCCTGATGTTTTTCATCACGTCCGAACGAAACGCTTGGTTGTTTGTTTGGTTGGTTCCTACGGCAGTTGCGAGTGTTCTGGTTCTTGTTGCTTGGTTGCTCTTCCTGGCACGGCGCCGCACGTCGTAAGCCATGGGGACATGGGGACCCCACCCGTACGTACACAAAAGACAGCAGACAGATCACCCTGGCAACGCCACCAGCAGCAAGTGGTACAACAACAGACAACCAACCAGACTCAACCAACCCGCATCGGAACAGGCAACTGAACACCGCATCTAAGGCCACTGCCATCAATATCAAAATACGACAATAGACAGACGAAAAAACAACCCACCGCGATTGCCTCGTCCTTGGCACGAAGAACGTCGTCACCCGCGGCGGTGTCGGCCCCGTCGTTTGCCCCCGATACAACACCCCGGTCGTCGTCCGCATCGACGTCCATCTCCACCGCTACCGATTCTTCGCCGGTGCCCCTCCATCCCGTGGGCGACGCTGTCTCCTGACTTGTGGTGTCGAGAGAGACGCTTGCGCTGTTGTATGCATACTCCCCGGGGTTTGCCTGGGGGGGGGGTCCGCCGAGTGAAAAAAAAAACGTGGTGATGACTTCAAGGATGAATATAGTCTGACCAACATCGGGGGCCCGCGCACTGCAAAAAACCGTGGTGATGATGTCACGAAGGAAGATAATGCGACCAACATGGGGGGCCAGCGAAGTGCAAACTATTCATGGTGACGTCACATATGAAAAAAAAATAGTGCGACCAACATGGTGAGTCCGCGAAGTGCAAAAAAAGACCATGGTGACGTAATACTTGGAAGGATGTACTGTGGCCGCTGTCCTACTCGAGAGTGCGGGCGCTGGGGCCGTTACCTCCATGTACGAAACCAGACAAAAGGAGCGAAAGTAGATACAACACATTATCTGTGAACGGAGAAACGCCCCCCTTCCAAAAATGCCGCTATCATTGCCGTGGGTGGGCCTTCCAACCAGGGCGAACCTTTCGGAGCTTCCGCAAGAAATCCTCTCGTGTGCCGCCCTCCGCGTGGGCGATCGCGTCGAGCTCTCTCTTGGCCTTGTGGCGACAGAACGGACGAGTGAACGAAACATACAAAAATGGACGAGGAAAACGCGCGCCAACGAACAGGCCCCACGTCAGACGGAAAATAAAACCAAAATAGCAACGACGCCTTCGGCTTCGTCCTCCTCCTCTTGGAACCGAAATACACACGTCAGAACCAAGACAACACAAAAGTACGGTTTCATTCAATGTGGCGCGTCCAAGATGCATACATCCAGCCTACCTTCATTGAAAAGTGTGTTTAGTACGACGAAGCTAAAAAAAAAGCCAACCACAGAGATGATAGGTACCGCCAGACACGGACATCAGCGCACACGAATGCCGGCGAGATACACCTTTTGGGAGACTGTCGGGGCGTGGCGCCCAAAGCAGAATTCGGGGATTGTGAACACGTAGTTGTCTCGTTACATGGCCATTGGGTTCGTGTTCGCCAGTCGCTACAGAGGACGGTACCTCGTACGGAAGGCCGTATCGAACAAAACGGCGTCTGGGCTGGATAATACGCTACAGCGACGACGAACGAGGAACACGCCACCACCTACAATAAACGACAACGACAACACTGAACAGCAGCAGCAGCAGCAGCAGCAGCAGCCACTGCGGTAAGAAAACGACGGAGCATCACCCGAGCGCTTGGAAACACGAAAATAATTCACGGAACAAAAAGCTCTTGGACGCATAGCGACCAAGTTCCGACGGGGGGACACACAGTTGCTGCGTGACGCTTCACCGACAATACCTGGTCGATGAAGGACGCACGCTGCTCCTCGAGAGACTTTCCGTGGCCCTCCCCTGGCACGACGAAGCCACGGCCTGCACAAAAAACAAAAAGACGTGAACAACACCTGTAAGCGATCATCAGGCCAGAACGGGTTTTTCACGTAAGAGAAACGCTGACATAGGGAGGAACCGACAACGACGACGATGATGAAGGTTGCGGTGGCATCAACAACAACCACCACACCAAAAACAAACACAGCCAGCAGAAAACCTAAACAAAGATACCCGTTGCAACCAACTAGCCACCTCCCCCCGCAACCACGCAAGGCGCTTCTTGCGCGTCTGTTCACCCGCAGACCTTTCGCGTAGACAGCCCCGCCCGCCCCCCTACCGCCCACTTCTCGCCCGAGCACGGCTAGGAACTCCTCCCAAGAGTAGTGCGAGCTTTCCGTGCGGAAGGTGTCGAGAGCCCTCAGGGCTTCGCCCAGCCTGCGTGCGACATGGTAAGTGGAGGGAGAGAGCAACGCCAAGAAGCAGCATCAGTCTCGGAGGGGATGGCGAAAAGGAAAGAGAGAGGCCAGATGGATGCAACACGCCCGAGGGCTAAAGGCTGACTTGTCCGACGTGCATCGTGATCTCGATCACCCTCGGTCGAGACCTGATCACCACCTTCTAGAGGAGCGCCTACTTTGCGTGGTGGCCGTCTTTCGACATTGTACGAGCCTCACTCAATTAAGCTAGGAAGTTCTGGGGGTGCGCCCAACGTATCTGAATAGGGGCTTGATTCGACAGCGTTCAACACACGGAACCCCTATGTATCGATGCATGTTCCGCGAAATATAACTTCAATGGTGACAAATATTTCGCCAAAGACAAACGAGTGTAAAAGAAGCAAATTAGCGCAAAGCAGGCTGGAGCTGCTGGTCTCACCTTGTCATCTCCTCATCTCCACCATCGGCAAAGTTAGCCAGGCCCTCGTCGTCGTACAAGAGGCTCCGGACGAAGCCACGGAGATTCCTATGCATACAAAGAACACGAAAAGGAAGGGTTCGAGTGTCACGAACGCCGATACATCGAAAGCCAACTTTGCATGCGGCAGGCACACTTGGGAGGGAAATTGGCTCTCAAGCTTCGCAGCGCAGCAAAAAAGCACACTCGGTAATCACGTACAGAGAGAGAGAGAGAGAGAGAGAGAGAGAGAGCGACTTGCCACCTCCATATCCGTGGATCTCGAGGGGCCCCACGGGACCTAACAACACTCATCATTCCCGAGCTGCCGCCCGCCCCCCTTGATTGTCCTGTTGGTCGGTTGGTCGGTCTGGTAGGAGCGGTGTCACTGAAACGAACACACAAGCTGGCACGCACCTGGTTTGGTCTGAGGCCCTGTACTTGAGGGGAGGAAAGTACCCCCGAAAGGCGGTGTCCATCCCCCGGACTAAGGACTCTCCGATGAGCACCTACGGGCGGTTGTTTCGGAGAATAAGTTTGACATGTACATGTTCACATTTTTCCCACAAGCATTTCAAACATTGCCCTACAGCGCCCTCTCTCTGTCTCTGCCTCGGCTTCACAGGGTTACGAACGTGGACTGTCGTGCGACGTGGAGCTAATTTACTGCTACATTGAGTGTCTTGCAGCAGCACGACCGAATACGAATGTGCAGCAGAGTTAACATAGCTGCCGTTGCCCATAGGAGATATGGCGAGCATACAAAAGTGCAGATAAATTCCGAGCAACAACGCGTACGTACATACCCGCCTGTGGCTCCACCGAAGAGGAATCGTACACACTAGCAGATGCCACGAGTACATCAGCACAGCGTACACACTAGCCTGCCGCAACAAACCGCATGCGGATCGGATCGGCCATCGATGAAAAGTGCGGCGCAACATCGGTGATGTAAAGACAGTGAGGCATTTCAAACATTGTTGGTACTTGGTATCAACCTCACATCATCCTTTCTGCTTGTCGAGGGAGCACCATCTCCTTCAGGCCAGCGCACCCCCTCGAACACAATATCTTGTGAGAACAACGTCGCCGACATTGAGATGGCGCGATGAGCGTGGGAAATGGTGAAGTGGTCCCTCCTGTGCGTGAGCTGTGGCGGCCCCGCGAAATTGTGTAGGTATGCGCTTCTTTCCTGTGTCCCGGACCACCTCTTGTGATCCAGTTTGTGTTTGTTGCTCTGAGCTGCTGAGTGTTTTCTTTCGTTGTGTGACTGGATCCTGCCAGACCTGCTGCTGCTGCTGGGAGAGAGGAACAAAAGTGCAAACACACGGCACTCACACCCATGGCGTCGATACCTGCAGCGAGAAACGGCGGTGGTGATGGCACCTTCCCTGTGCTTGGCCTGCTTCCCAAGCAGGAGACGGAGGCCTGGGAGTTTCTCAAAGCGAACCCGCAGCTCGACGGCAGGGGCGTGAAGGTGGCTATCTTCGACACAGGCGTCGACCCGGCCGCCAGCGGGCTGCAGGTGCGCGCTTCGGCATATGCGTGTCGCTTTTTCTAGTGTTCTGTGTTTGTGGACATACCGCTTTGCTGCTGCTGCGGAATTGCGGGCTAATGTGATAGAAGTCGCACCACGAACCACGCGCCACAGCAGCAGTCGTCAACCGAAGTACGATGCATACTTCTTGTATTTGCCCCTGATATTTCAGCCCCAATTTTGAGGATGATTGAGCTACCTGCTGACAGGGACATCATGGCATCATGCTATGCAACCAACCGCATTGAAATCATGATAATTGCACCCCGTGTGCATAATGTGCGTGTCCTCAGATTGTTGGGGCACTGGCCACGCGGTCCACAGGTGAACAGCCAGCGCTTGCATCCAACCATTGGCTGTCTGTTCCTTCGTCCCGAGTCCTCAGCGGCAGGTTCAAGACAAGCGGCGGTCTCCTGCACGTTGTTCCAAATCAGCACAGCGCACGGCGTACCCAAGAGGGGATCAAAAGCACGCGACAAACCGTACAATGCACACTCCACTCTTCGCAGCGGTGTTTCGACACTTGGTTGCCGATATTCGCAGCCTGCTTTTCGTGCCGTGCAAGGCCTTTTGACACCACAAGCTTTTGAAAGTCAGAAAAGGGCGATTTTTGCTTTCGTCGTCGGAAAAGGTCATATGATGCTACATTTGAATGCGGATTTTCACTTCTTGCATGGTGGTGTTGGTCGTGTGGTGAACGTCGCTCTCATTTCTGGTGTGTACTGCTGCTGCTGCTGCTGTTGTGGGAGCTGCTGGTGCCTGCGGGTGCACTCGATGTTACTTGCTTCCGGTGCTTGCCGCTGGCTGGCAAAAACGGCGGGCATCAATTGGTTCATGGTTGGGTTCACAGTTGGTGGGTGCCCGCTCCTCTCTCTACCGTCCCTGTCTCCGTCCCGCCATAGAATACGTGTCCCTGAGATCAACTTGGGCAAACATAGCACGATCACCGATGTCTTTCAGATCACCTCGGGCAAACATTGCCGAATCACCGACGTCTTCCCTGAGATTAACTAGGGTGAACATAGCACGATCACCTGTGTATGTCCCTCTGATCATCTCGGGCAAACATACCCCGATCACCTATTTAGACGATCTACACATGCGTCCTCACATCTCCTCGGGTGAACATCCCGTGTATGACGCGAGATAACACCTCCACAAATACAAGCTACCTTTGTGTGTTTATATTAATCAAGTACAATAACAACAAATAATCACCGGGCGCAGCGTGGTGTTGTATGTATTCTGCCGGGGGGTGGTACCTCATGTGTGTTATGTGTTTCGTCCTGTTATTGTGGCGACAGTCTCCCCATTTTTCGTGGTGAGACGTGTACTACACATGTTTCAGTGTATGCACATACATGTATCAAGTACAGCAGTTCGACACCTTTCAGTGTATTTTTTCGTACAACTACAACCATCCAGGGTCGCACAGGAGGGGGTAAACTCCGTTTTTTTTTTTTCGTGCCCCACCTTCCCCCCCTCGGTGTTTACCATCGGGATTGGGTTTTCGTCGCTTGGCAACGACGTCGTAAAACAAGCTAATTCACTTCGTGAACTCGGCAACCAGGTTACCGTTTTTTTTTTTTACCTCTTTTTTGTTGGCGGTAACCATAATGGTGGTCGACTAGATCATGTTGTGTGGGGTGGAGAAACCTCACTCGGCGCAAGGGGGATGGCCGCACCACGTTGTGTCAAATGGTCAAGCACCCTCGAGGCAGTTACACAGTGCTTACAACTGTCTCTGGAAGTGAAAGCACCAGNTTTCGCGCTTGGTGATGTGAGAGCCTGGTCCGGTGAGAATCCGGCGTGCTCCGTCCCGGCTTTGAAGGGATGCGAGGTCTACGGCATGGACGACTATGAGTACACGCCCACCCACCTTCCTCTTCACCGGTGATGACAAGTACAGCGAAATAACCAGGAGTATGTGGTGTCTGGAACCACCTGCTTGCGAAGAACCACGCACTGCTGCCGCAGTGGCAGGGTGCGTGGTTGCCAACCACACACGCCCCTGCAATGCAGCTAGGCGTACATTTTAGGCGTGTACATTCTAGGCAAGAGTGATACCACTCACACCACTGTCTACAGCAGTTGTGAAGTTCCTGCCGAGCGTCTGCTGGTTGCAGTCTGGAAACGAGGGGGGGGGTGGGGGTGTACGCAATGTAAACGCATGCCGTAGTCGCTAGACCATGGACCTTTCATCCCTACAACGCCGGGACGGAACGATGTGCAGGGTTTTCGCCGGCCCAGGCTGTGTTGCACAAGGATGAAATAGGAAGCTGGTAATCGTCCTTGCGTTTGCTGCGCCAAAACCGATATGCTGTGGGTTGATCGGGTATCCCGGGTAACCAAACGTTTCACATTCCGCAGGCACGACTACAGTTACACACCCCATGACGTTGCTTTGCTCCAGCCCGAAAAAGCCGAGTCGAGAACAAGAATATACCTCAAGCGGAAGTGGCCGTACGAGACCCAATTGAAACTGAAGGCGCTGTGTTCATAACCCTTGCGTAGCCCGGTGGTCTTTCGTTCCCATCCCTACTCTCTTCGCTATCACCGCGACAAGGGTGGATGGTACCTGGCGATAGAAGTGAAGGCACAAGTCGCACCGCGTGGGATGGGACGCCTCTCTCAAGAACATTGGGATGCGAGAGAAGGAAAAATCGAGCTTCTGTCTGTGAATCCATGCATCTCGTGTCCTACTCACAGCAGTCAAAATTGTGGGACACAAGTTAGGAAAGTATTGCAGCAACACGAACACCTTTGGAAGAAAAAATAACGTATCTCTTGTGCATGTGACTGCCGTTGGTTTTTTGCTTTCTGCGATGCTCACCCCGTAAGGGAATCGCACCCACTCCTCATCTCGCGTCTGTCCCGCGGCCGTTGCCTTGTCATCCCAAGTTCTCGTGGCCGCAGAGCGATTCGAACAGACACAATTCCCTATTTTCGGCGACTACATGCCTCATCGCTGTGTTCGTCGTTGAAAAACTGTCGCATGTCTTCAATCAGCCATTTGGTCGTTTTCGTATGTGTACGTTAAAGAAGACTTACGAGACAACACCAATGAACAACCAACGTCAGGTGTGCCCGGACGGTAGCCCGAAGGTGCTCGACATCGTCGACTGCACGGGATCCGGGGACGTGGACACCTCCACCGTGCTCAACGGGGTCTCCGTGACTACCACTCCCGACGGCGTCCGCGAGATCAAGGGGCTCTCTGGCAGGTGCGGCGTGTGTATGTGTGTCTGTGTGTGTTTTGTGTATGTTGGCATCGACTGCGCGATGTAGCCTGCTGACCGATGAAATGACGCCCGTCCCAGCGCGTGTCTGTGTGTGCGTGTTTTTTTTGTTTTGCATCGACCGCGGTGACCGGCTGGTCAATGGGAGTACGTGAGTCTCACTGTCTGCTACGCTGGCCATGGCGGCGCCAACAGGCTGACCAATGAAAACAAGTCAGTCCAGTTTTTGTGTTATTTGAGATCGACCGCGCCACCCGACAGACCAATGAAGATATTTCAGTCTCGGTGCGGATAGACAATGAAAACGATTCGAAAGGCCATGATCTCGAACCCCGCGAGGGGGGGGGGGGATAGGGGGGGCTAGGCGATT